TTGCTTCCTACTAAACATGCAGTTATGGGCTTGGAAGAAATAGTTGCACATGCTAATCACTCCCAAATCTGGATATATTTCAGGGCATTTTGACAATTTTTCCCACATAACATCTGTACTTAAGAAGCCTCACTACTATTGGTAAAGTATTGACTTGATTTCTCTGCTCACATCCAGGGTACTGCATGGTACTGCCCTATTGTCCCCAAACCCCGTGCCAGGTGCTCCCCTACAGGCCTTTCCATCTCTCATGAGTATGAGCTTACAGAGCCATTCATCTCCAGGCGGTCATGTTCACCATCACCAACGGCTCCCTGTGCATCTCATACACACCGGGCTGCTTTCATACCAAAATTTTCCAAAGCCCCACATTACATATTCCTTTTCTCTGCCATGCTCGCGGCTATTCTGTGCTGTTTTGATCTGTTTGCATAGTACTGTCAGACTGTGTGCATGAAAGGTGTGTTGTTGACAAGAATGGTTATGAAAATGTTTTTGTAAAGAGCCCACCCAGGTTATCAGTGGAGAGAAGGAAGCTTGGAGCCCCAAAGACAGAGGTCAGGGAATTCTAGTGGAATCTTTGCCAGAAGGGGACTTGTGCACATTGACAAAGAAAATGTGCCCATTAAAATGTGATCGTGGTCTCCACCAGGCCAAAAGATAAGGGAGTCTCTACTAAAAAAAATAGTAACAGGTAGTGTGACATATAAAGAGGTGGAATCCTACCACAGAACAAAAGGCATAAAAATACATGTTAAAATGGAGATACTTTCAAGTAAGACTCAGGTAGACACAAGTGTTAGCTTCCTCTTGGTCACCCGGAGTGCTCGTCAGCAAGAGACTGGCACACTGGCCTGGGCTGTCCCGCTCACAGCTGACCTTCCCATTGCCCATCAAACTGGCCTGATTTTTAGGCTCTTAGATAAAAGATAGTTTAGGAATTATTTCTTCATTTCGCCAAATAAGCATGCCCAGGTCGGAAGCTCCTTAGCTGGACACCAGTGAAAAAGTAGATGGGACTGGAAATGGGAAAACAAACCAGGAAGAGGAAGAGCACTTTTGAGATAGGACATAACTAGGAAAATTCATTCCTAACACCAAATATTTTACAGTGATCACCCCACCCTTTCACAACCACTTCATCAAAGGATGAAACTGGCATTTCAGATTGGAAAAGCAGTTCAGCATCAGCTTTTACCACCAAGTTTGTTACATTTGACTAGGTTTGAGACAGCATAAAGGCAGGCCGTGAGAACATGAGTGGCATTTGCTGTGTAAAGTCTAGTTCAGGCCGAGATATGTGGGTAAGACACACTTTTTTCAGATTTTTTTTTCTTGAAGCCTCCTACAAAGATTGATCCCAACTTTGCATGCACTCCTTATGTTATCCGAATATCTTTGCCATCTTTCACAAACATTTGGCCAGTGCCTTGAAAGATACCTAAAAAAAAATGCTTTGTTTGATATCTGAAGAAAAACAGATACAGCTGAGACTGGCTTTACCAGCTCAAGCATTTCCAGATGACATGGTCTCTCTCACACCTCCCACCCCTCCATGAAACGAGTTTCACAATTGTTTCAATGCAGAGATTTACTTTGGATGGTTTTGTACTTAACTAACCAAAACATTATTTCATGGGCACTACTTGATGTGTTGGTACCCTAGGGAAACTTGTATGTTGATGTTTTCCCCTGAGGAACAAGGAATCACATTTTCTCCCAAAAATAAATGTTGCCAACTGGCTCTTAAGTCCTTTGCAATCCTGGTTGTCTTTAATAAGGCCAGTAAGTCCAGTCAAAAACAAAAATGCCAAACCTCTTCGTACCCCTTCTCAATATTCAAGTCCTGGAGTTGAGTTTTGTCTGCTCTGTACTTTGCCTCTGCAGTCTCAAATTCTTGTGCTTTCTACTCCAAATAGCTGTAAGACTCCATTTAAATCCTATCCAATTCTTTTTACAGTTGAAATAGGAACGCTGAGGTCACTTCTAGGCTAATCCTGCTGCCTAATATGTGAGAATGTCCTCATCACACCTCCCCCTTACAAGTATTTTTAAACTCAACCCTTCAAAGTAAAAAAATGTAACAGAGCCATTGAAGTAAAAATGCTAGGACCTGCCTTTTTCTTTTTATCTTTCATAGGAATGGCATCTTTAATCACGAGCTTGTGTCAGACATTGAACAGTCTCCACATGGGAATGAATGTTTTGATTAAAAGTTATTTAATATCTCTAGTTCCTTGGAATTCTGCCTAACGCTGGAGATATTCTTAGCTGCAGGTCTTGTGCTTGCTTTGACTAGATAGAAAAATGGCTCAAAATCTGGAGGGAATAAGTGGCATTCTCAAAATAGTTACTTGATTGTATAGGTGTTTCTATCACAGAGGATACTGTTGTGTTGAGAATTAGGAATTTAAAAAAGAAGATAAGGAGGAATGTGTCAAAACCTCACCTTTCTATAGCTCTATCACTGTGTCCATTTTCAGCCTTTGGGTTAGAATCAGTTTAGGGTACTACAGTCATACATCAGGTCTAAAGAATAGGATTCTGTATAATCTGTATATAATGTTTTCTTAACTTGCCTTTGTATTTGAATCAACAAGGGTTAAATCAAAAGCAGCTAAGCAAGCTGGTAGTTAAAATATGATCTTATTTTTGAACTGCTTTCAATGTAAAATAATGGAGACAGATTGTCATAGCACCTAAATATGCATAAAAAATGGAAAAAAGAATAACTTTATTCCAAAGACACAAATAGAATTTTGATTTAATAAGTTATTTTAGCTTCAGAGGTAGTATTGCTTTCATAACACCCTCTTCATCTTTTGAAGCAAAATATTTACAGAGCATCTAATTATTTTTCAAACTTTCCAACAGCATTTCATGCATTGAGATATTGATGCAACATACAAGCTGGGCCCTCGGGACCTGTATTGTGTGATCCATTGTGCTACTATCATCAGGAAATTCCACTTTTCTCCCCCATGGTCCTGTTTGTACTTGTTTACAGGTCATCTGAAAAGTAACTAGTATATGATCAGTGGCATGAGTGTTATCACTGTAACCTTGGCAACTAAACTAGCTCTGATTTCAAAACCTCACATCCTGTCTCATAAAATTAGATAATAGAATTGACATTTAGCTACATGTCTATCATAAATTAAGCTCTGAGAATATTTCCTTCACAGCTATGTGCCTTAATATGAAAATAGAAGGTACCAATTAGAACCATTTTATACACATACATACTAGTCCACATTTAGGTGCTGGATACATTTCCTCAGTTCTTCCTCTACAATAGTGAACCTCAAAAATTGCTGTATTATTCTCACTGTGCCAAAATTCATGGTGGCTGTATTTTATGATCAGGGTGAAGCTTATAGCAGAGCTGCATCAGATATCCTATATACATAGGATTATGAATAATAGAAAACTCAGCTCCTAAAGAATGTAAAATACAAAACATTCTTGGCTTTACAGGGTACCATTGTTTATGCTGATTAGAAGAAAGACTGTGCACAGAATATTCTACTAACTAAATCAGAATCCCAAAGACAAGACTGAATCCCTTTCATTTATGTTCATGCATATTTTTACACTATATTCTCCGGTGTCCAAGAATCTTTGATAATATCTTTATTTCAAGGACAATCTAAGACTGGCAGATAAAGATATTCATCTGCTTTGAGTCCTAGGTCCTCTCTTAGAATTTGTAAATATTTTAATCTCAGGATTTTCCATTCTATTTGTTGTGGTCTGGTGCAGTTTTTCTTGGATATAAATTTAAAGACTCAACTTGTAAATTACATTTAATGTAAGCACCCTGCAGTTTTCTGCATTGCAAATGATTATTTTTAGAAATTTTATGGTTGCCTGGATATATTTGTTTGTCTTCACTGATATGTAGGGGAGGAAGCTCATTAATGATTTAAAAAGAAGGTGTTTTGATTCATTGACTTGATTCTTCTCATTACATAAACAATAAAGGCAATAAATTAACATCTAATAAAATTGTAAGAGTTTATTTCTGAATTTAGCTGCAAGACAGCCTGGAATCCTTGGGCATAACATTTCCTGTATATTCTTCTGCCTCAATGTTTTCAAAGTCATCATTCAGCATATTTTAACCTGGAATGATGGTTTATAATTCTTATTAAAGATACCTCTTAGCAGCTGTCAAACACTGTAATTGAACAACTGCTTTGTGAAACAGTTCTTTGGCTTACAGAATGGTAAGTTGTTATGTAAAAATGGAAGATCCTATGTCAAAATTGACTATAAAGCAATTTTTCTTTTCCCCATATACCTGCTAGATGTCATATATAACATTTAAGAAATCTGCTTCCAACATCTTATTAGCCATCCATGTAATTCTTGCTAGTTTTATGTTAAATACTACCTTCTTGCCTTACACCTCGTAGTCAGAATTCCTGCAAGATAAGGACTTTTTCTTTTTGGAAACAGATAAGTGGTTGTGCTCTCTACATATGTGCTTAAGTGGGAAGAAGGGCAGAATCCTTCTGTGTATTTGCCAGCCCTGCACAGCAAATACCCATTACATCTGCAGTAATGTTTAGAGTGTTTGCTTTATCCCATCGGGTTGAGTCATCATCACCTTTATGTTTAGACTGGTACAAGGTAGTTTTTATTATTTTTTTTATTTTGAAACTATTTCTTGTGATGAACAGAAATAGTTCAGCATGTTGTGGTTCCAGGAGTGAGTCAAGTTTGGGTAGCCATCTATATTGTGAAGTAACTTCACTGGAAACTTTTCAATGCATCGGCATTCTGCAGGGCAGTATGGAAATGAACTCAGGCTGTGTTGGCGCTGGAATGTGGGGGCTTATTGCTGTTTGCATGACTCCGAGATGTATTTTAGTATCTGGTCTTCTTCTTTAATTGTGTTATGGTATGGCATTAGGTGGATGGGGAAGGGGGGAACCATAATAATAGGGGGGGAAAAGTCAAAAGGCGGTACAGCTGATTGTGTGATCTCCTTTTAGGTCCGATGTTGTGGTCCTCTGTTTTTCAATCGCTAATCCCAATTCCCTAAATCATGTGAAAACCATGTGGTATCAAGAAATCAAGCACTTTTGCCCTCGAACACCTGTTGTTTTAGTTGGCTGCCAGCTAGATCTCCGCTATGCTGATCTGGAAGCTGTTAATCGAGCCAGACGCCCTTTAGCGAGGTAAGTAAGCCAAGGGACTCGGTGTTTCACTGTGCTGGCCAAATTAAAGTTTAGAGGTAACAGATGTCTCTGTAGCCTAAGGTGGTGTTCTTCAATGGTTCTGGGACTCCATCAATCAGCCATAGGCTTTAAATTAGCTCGTTAATCATCAGGGGGCATATCGTGACCCTTCTTGTGAGCTCACCATCACCTTTTAGGTAGGAACCCATTTTTGTAAAATGGTTGGCCAGTGCTTGAAGTGAATTCTCTAATTGTGACATGGTCTGTATAAAAGTGCTTTGAAATTAGTAAAATGTTAAGCAAAATGTTACCTACATATGGATAACTATTTAACCACTGTGTTGTATATTTGACACCAATACAAGATTGTATGTCAAAGATACTTCAATAAAATTTTTTAAAATTTTTGAATGTTACCTACTCATAATAATGGCATTCTTGGAATTATGATTATTATAAATAGAGTTAACTAACATTCAGAATGATTGGCCACAACGCTTGGCCCCAGGAACATCAGATTCATACAAATATGCATATCCAAGTGTTTTCAATCTTTTCATTTTCCTCAATTTAACCTCTGAGAATATTTAATTCCCAAGCTCACAGTGTCCCGTTTTAAAAAATCATATGCTGTAGGTGCACTCAACTGTTCTTTAAATGTCTTCTGTGGTTATATTTTTAAAGTGTCACAAATTTGAAAATCAGTTTGGGTTTATTTCACTCTATATAAAATGTGGATACCAATCTGGGGGGGAAATGGGAGTTTTTAAAAACCTGTGCTCCCTCAATATATTCCCTTTACAAAAAATAATTTTATATTTGTTTTATGTTTAACAACATTTTTTGCTGGAGAACAAAGCTTTTTCAAAAATGTTGATATTAATACCTTCCTTTGACATTTGCCTATCAGGTTTGTTAAAAATTTTTATACAGATACAACTTTGTACGCTCTGACAACAAAAGTAAATGGTACTTTATTTAAACAATTTCTGATATTTTTGGTGCATTTGGGAGAAATTGCCTAAAAACTTTTCATGTTCCGCTTTCACAATTCTTCTATTCTTAACTGCATAGACTAGGAATTGAAGATTAGAAGCCACAGAGGGAAAGAGGACTCACACGGCAAATAAGAGACTGACCCAGTGCCCAGAGCTTGCCATGTAAAAGAATAGATTAAAATAACCCGAGCCTCACAATGGTGGGCGTGGAGGACTGAAGGAGAGTTACAGAGCTCTTGAGGACAGCAGAGGGGACAGTCACTTCTGTAGAGCAGTACTGAGATTTCATGGAGGTGGCATTTGAGCTAAGTCCTGAAGAGTTTCATCAGTTACTGATTTTCACGTCAGTCCCAGGAATAAGGAAAGAGCCCAAAATGCCCACAGTGGCAAACTTCGAAGTTAAACCTTCTTCCCCACACTTCCCTTCACCTCTACAACACCCAACAGTGTGTCTTCTTTTCCCACCTAGACCTTCCTGTCACACACATTACCTTTGATCTAGAAAGCCAAATATGTATTTTTTAAATTTTTTAAGTATATTTTTAATTGAAATATAGTTGATACACAATCTTATATTGGTTTCAAGTACACAACACAGTAATTCAACAGTTACCACATTATTAAATCCTCACCCCAACTAGTGCAGTTACTGTCAACACACAAAGATGTTGCATAATCATTGACTATATTCTATGTGCTGCACTTCCATCCCAGTGACCAACTTATATTATTATTGAAACTTTTGTGCCTCTTCATCCCTCACCCACCCTACCCCTCACCCCGACCCCTCCTCCATGGTAACCACCAGTCACTTCTCAGTCTCTGTGAATCTATTGCTATTTTGTTCACTTTATGTTTTTATACTCCACAAATAAGGGAAATCATATAGTATTTCTCCACCTGAATTATTTCACTGAGCATAATACCCTCTAGACCCACCCATGGTGTCTCAAATGGCAGGATTTCTTTCATTTTTATGGCTGAATAATATTCCCTTATGTATATGTACCACATCTTCTTTATCCATTCATCTACTGATGGACACTTAGGTTGCTTCCATCTTTTAACTATTGTAAATAGTGCAGCAATAAACATAGAGGTGCATATGTCTTTTCAAATCAGAGATTTTGTTTTCTTCAGGTAAATTCCTATAAGTAGAGTTATTGGGTAATATGGTATTTCTGCTTTTAGTTTTTTGAAGAACCTCCATACTTCTTGGAAAGCCAAATATTTATTCAGGAAGATCAGTTCCTAAGAGTATGGCTCAGAATCAAGTGTTTGTGAACAGTGTGACAACAGATCACATCTTGCCTATGTTTTAGAATCTGTGTCCTTACTATGACTATGCTATAATCACAGTACTATTCTGCTCATACTGCTTCCTAAGGGTTGATTAAATTGTAAAAGGGCCTGTGTGCCAGCCTAAAGGGTATAGACTTTATTCCATGGGCTTTGTAGAACCAGAGGAAATATTTTTTAAGAGTTGCAGCTAACATATACTTGTGTTATATAAGAATTTTTTGTGCCACAATGAAAACTGTGGGCTAAAACATGGAGAGTCTGAAGACCAGTTAAAAGGCTAATGCACTAATTCCAGCAACAATGGTGAGGGTCTGACTGAAGGGAGTAGAAGAAGAGAGAAGGGGTAAGATATGAAAGAAGATTCACAAATCTAATAGAAGAAACTCAATGTGCTTCTGGATGTGGACCATTTAGTTTAGAACTAGGGAGTTCTAGGCTCTAATTGTTTGGTAGAGGTTTCTCAGCAACTTGCAAATATGACCTTGGGCAAACCCTTTAAATCCTCTGCCTCAGTTTCTTCAAAATATAGAATGAAAATAACACCCACAGGGCTATTGTGAGAAATGCATTTGGATTCATTTTAAAGTCGTAAAGTAAAACTTAAGCACAAGGTAATAATGATGATAAAGGTGAAGTTGCTGGTGGTGGCGAGAATGGTAACAGCTAACATTTATCAAGCACTCACTGTGGACCAGGTACTATGCTAAGCATGTTATCTTATGTAAACCTCTCAATAGTCCTTTAAGATGTAGCGACTCATTGCTATTATTCCCATTTTACAGATGGGAAAACTGAGGCTTAAAGTGGTTAAGTAATTTGCCCAAGATCAAATAGCTAGTAAATGGCTGACACTTCAGTTGTTGTGGTTACCACTGAAAGCATTTTTTTTTCCTGCAGTTTTAAGTCCTTTCTATTTGGATTACTAGAGGCTGGTAGATTTTTTTCAAGAACCTTATCAAAAGCCTAATAAAATTTTAAATGAATAATTTAATTAGATGCTTAGATAGGCCCTAATTACTTTTTTACCCCCTAAAATAAGGCTGATATTAATTTTTTTAACACTTTATTTCAGGCCCATAAAGAGAGGGGATATTCTGCCCCCAGAAAAAGGGCGAGAGGTTGCAAAGGAGCTTGGCATACCATACTATGAGACAAGCGTATTTGACCAGTTTGGAATCAAGGATGTGTTTGATAATGCAATCAGAGCAGCGCTGATTTCCCGCCGGCACCTGCAGTTCTGGAAATCCCACTTAAAGAAAGTTCAGAAGCCTTTACTTCAGGCACCATTCCTACCTCCAAAAGCGCCTCCACCAGTCATCAAAGTTCCAGAATGTACCTCCATGGGGACGAATGAAGCTGCCCGTTTACTGGACAATCCTCTGTGTGCCGATGTCCTGTTCATCCTTCAAGACCAGGAGCACATCTTCGCACACCGAATTTACCTCGCTACCTCCTCTTCCAAATTTTATGATCTTTTTTTAATGGAATGTGAAGAAACCCCAAATGGGAGTGAAGGAGCTCGTGAGAGAGAGAAGCAGAGCAAGGATTTTGAGGGGAGGGCATTGAGTCTTGACCCAGACAAGGAAGGGCAGGAAGGCTCCCTGAGGACACCGCAGGCCAGTCAGTGGGAGTCCTCGAGCCAGAACCTGTCCCAGCAGGAGACTCTGGAGCTGGAAGCTGCAAGCCTGACTCCAGAGACGCAGACTTTGTTCGGCTGGAGTAAGGGGTTTGTTGGTATGCACAGAGAAATGCAAGTCAATCCCATTTCAAAGCGGCTGGGTCCCATCACTGTGGTCAGGATGGACTCGTCAGTCCAGCCGGGCCCCTTCCGGACCCTGCTCCAGTTTCTGTATACAGGGCAACTGGATGAAAAGGAAAAGGATTTGATGGGCCTAGCGCAGATTGCAGAGGTCCTGGAGATGTTCGATTTAAGGATGATGGTAGAAAACATCATGAACAAGGAAGCCTTCATGAACCAGGAGATTACAAAAGCATTTCATGTCAGGAAAGCCAATCGGATTAAAGAGTGCCTCAGCAAAGGGACCTTCTCGGGTGAGTGAGTCCAAAGGCAGAGCCATTGCTCCTTTTGTCTGCAGCTTATCAAACACGGGCAGGGGAAGGGATAACTATCGCTTACGTGTGTAAGTGCTCATTTGTTTCCCATGTACCTTTCTAGGTTATGTGTACTGATATACTTAATTCTTATCAGACTTAAGGGCTAAATATTTCATCTCCATTTTGCAGGTAGGAAAACTGAGGGACAGAGAGGTTAGGTAACTTGCCCATAGTTATACAGGTAGTAAATTATAGAGCTAGGATTTGAACCCAAGCTGCCCCCTAAAGCGCCCTGGCATCATGATGCTTCTCAAGGGCAGGTCAAGTTACCCCTGAGCTTGAGCCAGAGCTGGTCAGCTTGGTACTTATACCTCCCCATTAGGATCCCTTCCCTGACCAAGTCTGCTCGCCATTGACCCTTCAGCGCTTAGCCATGACAAAAGCCAGTGGCCTCTGGTCCTGTGGCCACTGAAATCCTTGAGGTGATTTGGGCCACCTTCTTCATTCCCAGCAGGGGTGTCTCATCTGTCCTTTCCTTCTCCTCATCTATTCTCACATGCCTTTACCCTGATCTTCTGTTTTTCTTGCCTCTTCTTTTCCTACCATCTATGCGGTATGCTGACCACAGCACCCTTACATAACTGCGTAAGCACACTGGCACCCTCTACCCAAGATGGATTAGTAGCCTAGGATTGTACTATCTTACACACTTACACTATTTTTGTTCTGCAATTGTCCTCTGTGTGTGTGTTTCACTGTAAAAATATGACTTCCTGACTTCCATTTATGTGGATACTTCTATTTTTGTCTTTATCTTTCCTAATACCTACCATGGTAATATGCATTTAGTACTATATATTTATTAATTCATTACTGAGTCTATTCATTAATTTTAAGTCTTATGATAATATTTACTCCCAACATTGGCCATCGTGATATTAGAAGCAATCTTAGAAGTTAACAAAATGTCACAAACCTGTAGTAAATCAAACAATGGACTTTAAGTAAAGTTGATGAAACCACCCTTTTCTTCCTGCAGAGGTATAATGACCAAATACAGTGGGAGCTTCATTTGGATTTTCTTTTTAAGAAAAAAAAAGCTATAAAATAAACATAGGGATAATTGGATAAATTTGAATATGAAACAGATAATGGGTGATATTAGTGAGTTATTGCCATTTTCTTAGGGTAATAATTGTTTGATTATCTAGGAAAATGTTCTTATTTTTAGAAAACTCTTGATACAGTAATTAGGAGTGAAGTATCATGTTATCTGTTAAAAATGTCTATGCATATGTAAATATGTATAGAAACATAAATACACACACACACAGCTAAAGCAAACATGGCAACATGGCAAAATGTTAACAAAGTGATAAATGAGTTATCATTGTACTATTATTCCCACTGTTCTGTATGTTTGAAGTTTTTCATAATTCCTCCCTTTATATTACCCTATGGTTCTGAGAAATTGTGTTGTGATTCATGCGTAATTGTGCATGCTTAGGTAACCCAGAGAGAACTGGATGGGTCAGAGGTGGGGGCTGACCCAAATCAGTCAGTAAAGATACAGAAGAAAGAGCATGACAGATGTGGATGGATGAATTTGGGTGGGACTCTGTGAGGCTAGCTCATGGTTGTGCTTCCTCAATTCTTGGGCAGACGTGACATTCAAGCTGGACGATGGAGCCATCCGTGCCCACAAACCACTGCTGATCTGCAGCTGCGGGTGGATGGCTGCCATGTTTGGAGGGTCATTCGTGGAAAGTGCCAACAGTGAGGTACGTACCTCCTGGAACACCTAAGTAGTATCTGTATGAATGTGCATGTGTATTTATAAAAGGTATATATAAACATGAGCCAGATGACTTTGATTCTTTACCCGCTTGCATGAAAGAGTTCCTTGGGTAGTGCTTGAGTGTTAGGTCATCCTCTCCTTAATTCTGCAATTATGGGGGGCTACTGTCTATTGTTCACTTGGTATATGTGAGTATCTAAGTGCTCTACATGAATATATCATCTTTCATCCTCACTGCTCTCCTTATCCATGAAAACATGACCAGCTATACTTTTTCACAACTGTGACCAAGCAAGATACCATCAAAGTCACATACAAGAGAAGCAGAGCTTGTCTTCCAGAAGTTCAAGACAGTAAAAAATTCCTTGTCTCCTATATCCTGGACTCAGCTGAGCCCCAACCAGATGGGAGACCATAAGAAGCCACATTCTTGTGCTTCAGTCTTCTCATCTGCAAGATGAGGGTGCACTCGATAGCTCTTGAGGTCCCCTGGAGCTGACAACCCGCCACAGTTCTGCCCTGACTTGTCTTCTCTAAGGGTTTGTTTGTTAGCTGGAGGGGAACAGTTATGGACCAAAAAGTTACTCCTCTGAATGTACCTGTAAAAGTGCCATGGTCCCATGGAAGTGCTGGGTTACTTGTCAAACTGGCCTTATCTCCATAAGAAAGATATTCTTAGAGCAAAGCAAACAGTATTTTGGAGACCCTGTATCTTCATTTTTTCCAACTCTATTGAAAAGAAAGAAAAATTTCATTCAAGCACTTCTAACTTTAGAGGTGCATTTCTGTTGAGTTTTGCAAATATTTTCCAACCACCTTTTTTTAAAAAACAAGGGGACACCCCATCAAGTTTATTGTCCTTGGAGGCTTGTTTTGCTTATCTCAACATCTCTCCAAACTTTTTAATGAAACAGAGAAAACAATAGCTAACTTTTCAAAGGGGACACTCTCAAGAGAAATCAGCTCTCCCGTTGTGTCCCAGGAGCCTGAATTTGCATTCCTAAGTAGAGAAACAATCATGGAATCACTAGCAAGGATGGCTGGGATGGCTGGGGCAGAGAAGGTCACTAGGCCACCCGTCTGCTTCCAGAACAAACTGCAGATGCTCCTAAACCAATCCCCAGCAAAAGGCTGTCTACTGTTTGGGGAATAGATGTTTAGAATTATCCTGATGACCCCTCCTTGTGGTCTTCATCTGTAACTAAACAATGCCTTTCCCATGCCATCAGGGGTGTTCCAGAGCTGTTAATGCGACCATCATAGCTCCTTGGAGACCCCCCAGTGAAGGGGTGGTGATGCTCAAATCCAAATTCCTCCACATACAAGCTATGTGGCCTTGGACAAGCAACCACATTCCTAAGCTCCAGTCTCCCCATCTGGAGAACACAATAACAACCTGTAGTGTGGTTGTGAGGTGGTAAATAGGTAAATAGGTGGTAGCTGCCATTAGTCTTATTTTGCTCTGAGTATCAGTTGATGCTATTCTTTCCCTCTTACTTCCACTAAAATTTGGGTAAGCTACCAATTAATAAACTTCATTCAAATAGCATTTCACCAACTTCAATAATCTCCAGAGATAAAGAGCCCAGATGCATGCTTCCCTTTCATTTCCAGTTCACTGAGATGTGTGCTGATTGGGCTGCAGAACGCCTGCTATTAACACAGCAGAGAAGTTGATCAAGGTCAGGAACCCAGGCACAAAGGAACTGACCTCACAAATGCTAATCCCCTTTATCCCTTCCCAGAATGGACTGTAATCATCTCCAGATTAAAATGTGCTGGAGAGGTGACCAAAACAAAAACTTGGCAGCAAAGGTGAAGGCACACATATGTGGTTGTTTAATAGCCTCTTCTGGAGGTGGCCCCCTGTTTAGCACTCCCTGCCCAGAAAGACTAGGTCACTTTCCACTTAGAACTGTACCTGAGGCTCTAATAGGTGTGCATAGGTTCAACCCAGCTCAGAAAGACAAAGACCATGGCACCAAGCAACAGAAAGTCTGTGCCAAAATTCCTTGAGCCAATATATCAAGAATGCCATAAACTCTTGACATTTCTGCCCTTTTCTGCCCCTTGTCTTTATGCCCAGTGGGGACTATTATAATAGTTATGTAGCTACGAGCTCTAGTCTTAGCTTGACCTCAGGCAAATAACCAATGCTCTCTAAACCTGTGTCCTCATCTGTGAAATGGAGATAACAAAAGAACCTTTTTCAAAGGGTAAGGAAGGTGTGAGAGTACATGTGTAAAACGTTGAATTTGGTGCCTGGAACATACAAATGCTTAGGAAATGTTGGTGACTATTATCCTGAAGGATTTCTATTAAATTCATTCCATGAGGGCTAAAGATATTTGTCCCCTGAAAGACTTAAGTTAAAAAGCTCCCAACTCCCTTCCTAAACTAGCAAAGTGTGATAGACATGATTATGTGGAGGGAAGAACACTCAAATAAACTCTCAATAAATGTTCCATGATTGATTTAGACCTATATTACCACTTGGGATTTGTCCTTTCTAGGCCACTTTTAACTCTTGATTTTCCTATGAAAATCTGACCTACCACACAAACTTCAGCCTTTTTTTTTTGCATTCATATGCATATCCAAAAAGGAATAAAATATGCCCTCTGATATTACTTTAACTTTTTTTGTCATTTAATATTTAAGAAAACACTGTATTTTACGTTTATTTTTCTCATTACTTTTAATGTAGCAGTAAGCATAATTCTCTCCCCAGAGGTATCAGCAAGAGGTTCATTAAAAATGCATGCCCGGGTTGTAGTAAGCAATGCTCTGGATCTGAATGCTTTCTTATTCTCTATGAGACCATTCTCTAATTATAAGCCTAATAGTCTGAGCTGATCATCACAATTAAAATTTAAACCAACTAAACTGGAATACAGGGCGTTGTTTAGGTTAGCACTGTATTCTCCATATTCTTTTCTTTTTTTAAAGCTACCTCCAGCAGGTAGGATTCAAAATTCTTAGTTCCATTTCTTATGTAGCTTCATTTATATTATTTTTTACAGTTCTATAAAAGTTATAGAGTTAACTATGACTGTTGAGATCACAGAAATAGGCTTTAAAAAATCAACAATGAGGAAAAAAATGCATCTTCTGAAAGTGTTTTTAGTTTATTCTCATTTGCAATTACTTCTAAGGGTCCCTAACTTTATTTGCCAAAATGAGCCATCACTTCAAAAAATGTTAGCATCATATTAAGCAAGATGGAAACAACAAGTCACGGATGATGAAAAATGTCAAGACACTCCAAAGATATTGGGAGTATCAGGGTAGGGACACTTCCTGGAATCTGTCATCTCCTGCTGCTGGAAATAATTTCTTTTTATTTCCGAGATCCATTTTGTCATGGCTTATAACCCACTCTTAACAAAAAAATGCTAGCGTAATCTGAGTATCTTCAAAATCCAGAATATTAGTGAAGAAGAAAAAGTTTTAGGTATCATCTATTCCAAATTCCTCCCATGTAACAGGTGAGGAGACTGAGGGTCAGAGACAGTGAGCAATTAGTCACTGGTCATACAGCATTTTAGTGACAAATCCCTGGGCCTGCCCCAGCTTCTTGCCCTGTCCTCTAAACCATTATTTTCAGAAACAGCAAACATCCTCATCTCTGAGAAAACAGGAAACTCTAGGACTTTTTATATTTATAATCACTCATAGTTTATAGCACTTTGCACATTGTAAAATGAATATACTTTCACTGGCTATGTAATTTCACTGAATATATAATTTCACTATGTAAAATGAATATACCTTCACAATGGCCCAAATTTTACAATTTCATAACTTAATTAACCTTCAGTTTTCTAGAAAATTGTACTAATCCAAACACCATTCTAAAGAAGTGAAGCTCTGCCATGTGTTGATAACATTCAGGAACAAGTTTATGTGGGTATCTATAAATAAAGTCCTGTCTATGTAAGATAATGCTTATGTACATGAACATACATGTATGTGCGCATACACAGAAGCATAGCCAGTGGTAGAGTCACTGCAATAGCAATGAGTTACAATGGCTTCCTTATTTTAAAATAATATCAGTAATAGTTTCTACTTGCCAAGTTCTTCTATAGAGATTGTGCTACCCACTTGAAATGATCACACTTGTCAAATCACTGGTGGTTTTAACCCTCTCAGCTTATTTATGGAATCATAATTGTTTTCATTCACTCTGTCTGAAAGCGGAAGTGATTTTCTTAATATTTCTAAGAATTTTCTGGGCCTTCCCTTTGATACATGAAGGGAAAACTCTAACTGCCAGAAAGGATATACCCTTTCTGAGATGGCTATGCAGGAGAATGACCAAGAAGGTTGAACAGTTCTGGAGCCACACCACTGGAATGCATTGATCATGAGCCCTGTGTAGACTGTGGAGGTAATTGTGTGTTTGTGTGTGTGTGTGTGTGTGTGTGTGTGTAGAGAGAGAAAGGGATTAGATATGTAATATAGATGTAATCATATATAGTACAGATATAATCATATAATATATAGATATACATCCTCCTATGCTGTATAGAGATTTCCTAAATATCAGAATTAAGAAGTTTATAACTGTTTTCCTTTTGAACTTAGAAGTATAATGCTTAAAAATGATTAGTGAAATATGGTGCTTTATTATAATATAACCCAAACCTTTGCTTCCTCACCATGAGGGTTTCTCGTACTACATGGTAGTTCTGAACATAGACTTTAGAATTATACTCCTTCGGCTCAAATCTTGGTCACTACTTACTAGCTGTGGATCCTTGAATATGGGATTTGAGTTCCCTGAATTTTAATTTCCTTATCTGTAAAGCGGCACAAATAATAACCTCTTCCTCCTAGGGAGGATATAAGGATCAAATTAGATAATGTGTGTGGAAAGCTTAGAACGCTATCTTGTGCATAAAAGGCCTTCAATTAAGGCTAATTTTTATAATCATCATCATGGAAATAGCAAATACCAATGTTACCATTCTATACTACACCAGGGCCCATCTCTGGAGCTAGTCTGGGACCTAAAATGGAGAGTAGCTGTATGGTGTACATCCCCTTTGATCCATTCCCAGCTACCCAAAACTCCCTGGCTCGTTGGTAAACTCTAGCATGTATTTACATTGGCAACAACTACAGGTCCTCAGGAGGGGAAGTGGGATCCCACAGGGAAGAATCCACCATCCTCACCAACTATTCCCAGAGGTCCCAGGCAAGGGTTTCTCCAGATTCTTTGAATCTCATGCTACAGGTAATGTTCCAGTAGTTCCAAATCTACATGGTTGTGCCAAAGGACAAATGTTAAAGTGTGTATATCACATTAGCATACGCTGAGAGAGCACTGGAACCAAGCCAGTCACAGCGGCAGCAGGGTGGCCACTGCTCCTGTTTGACATCCTAGAGAGCTGGGCTCCAGCGTGTGTCAGCAGCAGCATGGTTTGCAGGCCCCCTCAACACCTGTCAGTTGCTAGGAGACTTCTTTCCCCACAATAGAGTATTATAAAGTACTTAGCAAAGAGAACCCATAATATCATTATACATTTACAGCCCATTTGTCTGATTTATATGTCCAAATAGCCATTTAAAAATTCCAAATCAGGCTTTGTCTGGCAGCCCCACTCTTTTATCATCCACAAATCAAACTGTATGTTTAAAAGCTGTAAATAGAGAACAACTTCTACACCCAATCTCAAAGCAGGTGTCCCAGACTTGCCAATATCGAATCACACAATTGGGTTATTTATATACAATATGTTCTGAAAATGTGTTCACTGCTTTCTTCAGCAGAATTTAGCTTTTCAAATAATGTTTCAGGTATATCTCCCAAACATAAACAAGATGTCAATGCAGGCGGTACTGGATTATCTCTATACCAAGCAATTGTCACCTAACTTGGACCTGGACCCACTGGAATTAATTGCCTTGGCAAACAGATTTTGCCTACCACACTTGGTTGCACTTGCAGGTAAGGCTGATGACATGGTGCCATACCATGTCTGTCTGTCATATTTATCAAAATCACATTTAAACAGAAATAAAATTTCCAGGGAATAAAAAATTTTTTATCACCCAATAAAGGACTATCTCGTGCAGGGTGATATGAACTGACTAAATCTATCAGAGAGCCCATTCAACACATATTAGGAACCCACTTTGTGATAGGCCCTGTTACATGACACAGCTATGAAGGGCAGTGATGCCTGATCCCTGACCTTCAGGCCCCTGCCCTTTGCACTCTGCCTCATTTGTGGACCACAAAATTTGAAAGAAAACTATTGTGCCCGTGTTTTCCCCATCATGTGTGCTCAGACACAGTCTTTCATCAATAGGTAGTAAGAGGCAATGGTTCAGAACATAGGCCACAGAGCCAGATTGCTTGGGTTCAATCCTAAATCCACCCTTTACAGGCTGGATGAATTCGTACTTGACGTAACTGCCATGCGTCTCAGCTGTCTTTCTCTTTAAAATGGTATGGTAATATTTTACCACTGAGTTGTTATGTAGATTAACAAGGTAAGATATATATGTACATAAAGTCTCCTTAAAACAGCGTCTGGCACCTAGTAAGCATTATGTAAGTGTTTTTTTTTTTTTAAGCTAGTTTAGAACATGTTCTGACACTGTCAAGATCATTTTGGGAGAAAGAAAAAAGGGAGATTTAGCTTAACGTCACAAAACCTTATGTATCATGTCTAGATTTGTCCAGTGGGTAGGCTGAAGCATTTCTAAACAGGATATATGCATTCAAATACCTTTCCCTTACATTTAAATGTTCAGTTTCTTTCCCCAGAGGTGTCAGTTAGCAATCTGGATGTTTATTGCTACATTAGTTGACTCCTGTTAACCATGAAAGCAGAGACGATGCCTGTTTTGTTCACTAGCCTGTCTCCTGCACAGGAAAGTGCCTGAGCACATTAGGTTCTCAGTAAATACATGCTAAATCACTAAATAAATGAAAATGAAGGTATGAACAAACCAGCCAGTCATATCTGCACTTAATATTCTGGCAGTGTCTTCAGAAAAAAGATTTCTTTCTCTGTACTCCAGGTTTCTACTCACCCAACTGGAGCTCAGTCTTTGCCTTTCCATACTTCTTTCTCAATTGGACAGGAAGAGGTAGTTGAAGAATTGCTATTTGACTTTTTAAGAAACTGTTTTTAACCATTACACACCTAAAGTTATAGATCTAAATGAGTGTACAGCTTTTTAATTACTAACTCTAGAAGGCTGCAATGGGAAATTCCTGTTTCTGAAATATGAGTTCCGATCCATCTGACTATCCATAGTTTTTACAAGTATTTGTCCTTTGAGGATAAATTTAACTCTTTTTAGATAGTCAAATGTGTTGAACAAGCTTTGTGATCAATCTTTAAGTAGTTCCATTTTGCTTAAATATTTAGTCTGGTGATGAAAATATGGGACTGATTTCTCCATGAAAGAAACTGACCCAAAGAAAGCTTCTTATGTATACTACAGACTTCTGCATATTTACTTCTGTTATTAAATGCAGTAATTACTGTTATGATTACTTAATATACAGCTTCCTAAGATGACTCCTTTAATCATCTATGGTGTTTGATGTATACTGTTTAGAACATAGTGTTTAAAAATCAGTTTCTGGTGTGAGAATGCTTTGCAAGCCAATATGTTAAAATGAACAAGAAATGTTGCAATTGCCTAAAACTGAAAGGCCCAATGACTTCTCAGAGAAATTTAGCTCCAAATAGTTCTATGCCAGTCCAGCTGAGGAAGGTTGTTCCAAAGAAGCCATTCAAATCTAGATATCACATTGACCAGAGGCATGTCGACTAACAAGTATGTAGCTCCAGAATGGAAGGTAAGCATGATCTGTACACTGTCCTGGATTAGAAGAACAGATGCAATGCTAGAGATGAAAAAAGAATACATCAACATCAAGGAGCTAGAAATGCAGGCCTAAACTGTACCCATACAGGTCAAGCCCAGACGCAAGTAACAGCCCAGATGTATGCAAGAGACAGTACAGTCCCAGAACCACAGTTTGAATTCAGTGTACAAGTCTTGGCTATAGCTCCCAAGCAGAAATGGCTCTCTTAACTGGATTTTGTTACTTCTGGTTATAGGTCTCCCAAGCCTTTAGAATCTAAGAGGCCTGCAGCTGTTGAGACAGACAGATGTACACACATTTTTGATTCCCCATACGGATTCATTCCTCTGTTAATCTCTCCACTTTCAGAGATTATTCAGAATTAGAATGGTGTGGGGGAGGGAAACTGTTAAGCAGGAAGATACTAGACCATCTAGAAAATTCAAGGAAGGGGCTGGGCTATCTAGACCAGCACTGTCCAGTAGAGCTCTCTGCGCGATGGGAATGTGTCTGCATGGTTCACAGCACGTGTGGTTACTGAGCACTTAAATGTGACTAGGGTGACTAAGGACCTGAATTTTTAACTTTATTTAATTTTAATTAAGTTTAGTCTTGTGACCAGTAGTTACCATACTGAACAGTGAAGGCCTGAAAGACTCTGGCTATTTCCTAAGTATGAATAAGTATCCCCAGATTTGTTGGTGTAATGGCTGGAGGCCAGAAGTCCATGTACTGAAAGGCCACACCAGGATGGGCCCTGGATTCAATTCAGTGGTGGCCAGAGCTGCGTCCCTTACTTCCTTCCCTTTCAGATGGTCCCACACCCTCTAAGCAAGCTAGCTGCCTTGCAGAGTGTGGTTTACCTTTCTTCTGTTCTCTTTCTTCCCCAGAGCAACATGCTGTTCAGGAGCTGACCAAGGCCGCCATGAGTGGCGTGGGCATTGATGGGGAAGTGCTCTCTTATTTGGAACTGGCCCAGGTTTGTAACAATCTGCTTCTCACCTTTAAGTGTGTTCAACCAGTTCATTTAATGCTGATAAAACATTCCACTGTTGCATCTGTCTAAATAAAGATGTCACCACTGAGTCACCGAGGCCCCCTGTGTACACTGGGAAGATCTGAGAGTTTTACACTTCATGCATCATTCATCCTGCTGGGCTTCATTTGAAAAAACAACAAGGACCCCACCCACATGCCAGCCCCACTGTCCCCCAAGACACCAGCTTCACATGTGGGAGAATAACCTGAGGCATGATAAGGGAAGGTTTTCTCTTTCCTTTTTGAATTCTTGGACATGTATTGGCCAATATCCAATAGTTTATAGAATTCCATGAAGCGCTGTAATGTCCTACATCTCACTGCAACTCTCCTTGGGTTTTCTAAAACCAGTAGCTGTTAACATTGATTTTGTGATTCCATAATCCCAATACACACTTGCATACTTCTCCTAGAGAGGGTACCTAGTCCAACCTTAGCTTTGTCACGAATAACTGCCTCAAGGCACAAAGCTAAACTCTACCTCAGTTTCCTCATCTGTAAGAAATGGGACTGATAATTCACACCCTATCAACCTTACAGATAATTCTGAGAATCAAGTGGGAGAGAATATTCAAGAAAGAGCACTGAAGAGTGGAAGCCCTCTCATAATGCAAAGCACATATGCAAGAATGTCTAGTTCCTGGCATAGACTTATTATTGACAATGAGTTTATACTCTGAAGAAACTAAGAAAAAGTTCTTCAGTCCTTTCTTCAGCCTACTGGGTTTGGCTTTTTTTGTTCCCTCTCTCAGGTCAGTGTTTTACTAAGACTTAGATCAGGGAATTTAAGTCAATATTTCTCATTCAATGAAGAGGAGGTGGTTTCAGGAAGAGGAGGGAGGCATGAGCAAGCCAAGTTGTCATTCCAACTGTGGCCATAGGAAATGGTACCAATTCAAAAGAGGAAAAGGTGGAATAGTGCTTTATGGCAACCGACTCACTCTGACTTAACAGTCAACAAGTATTTAGTATTTTTTCCCCATACACCAGGCACCACCCTAAACAAAAGGACATATAGATACTCAAAAGGACAGGTAGATTCTCTACCCTTGAGGCAAACATAGGCAAGTAACAGAAATAGACGTAAGCACAAATTATTGAAATCCAACGTGAAAAAGAACCTAATGGAGTGTATAGTCAAAACCAGGAACAGACATCAATTGCAGTAGGAACAGCAAGCTCCCAATTGGTTGTCCACACTTGGAGTTTGGGGTCTTTTGAAACAGGCCTGGGGGGTAGGTAGGCCAGTTTATGACTTGTGCTCTTTCCAGTAAATGTTCTTCTGGAGAAAAATGATTCAGTTTCTTTTAAGGCTGGTTCACTTGAGAGAAGGATTTGCAGTTGTGTCTGTTTGCTCTGTGTCCCTGCCCTGTCCCCTCCCCTAATCCAATCTACACATACACCCTACAAGGAAATAATACCATCACTGTTAAGCCCTGACAGGACTTGGCAGGAAGAGTTTAGGATGGAGTCTCCCATATCTTAGACCCTAGCCCTGTGGTGTGCTAGTAAATATTTAACAATAGCTTGAGACAACTGAGACCCTGATGTGTTACATTTTCCAGTGTCCATGGTGTAAATACTCCAACCTGGTCAATTTTAACAATAAGAAACCACTGAACTCAGAGTAGGGAAGCAATGCACACAACTGACTCTCTTGGGCAGGTCCAAGCCAACTCCAGTACATCACTCCCTAATCTTACTTTCAGAAAAAAATCTAGTATCATGAGAAGTTGGAAGCACCAGCTAAACTTATCCATGACATTGAAGTTGTGGTTTTCAGAGTTTCTTGAGTTACTTTCTGAGGACTTTGGCTTTTCCATTGAGTTTTATTCACAGTGGAGGTGTGGACCCCAGAGGAGGCACACTAGGTTACAGGGTTTCAACTGATCAAAGAAACTTCAAGAGCAACAAACAGAATGGATATCTGAGAAGGGCATGAGCAGAAAGAATGAGGGATGGGGAAGCCCTGCCAAATTCAGGGAGAGAGTGGGGAGACGATTTTTGAGCGTCAGGGCTTTTTCAGTGACAGCTACCTCAGCTGCCTCCTCCCTGAGCATCTGCTCAGAAAGGAGAGGTGGAGTGCCAGGATCCCTCCCACCCAGCCCACTCTGACTGCTCTCCTTATGTAACCAAAGGACAGGTACAGGACAGTCACGCATTCCACAGTCTCCTCTTTCAGATCTCTGGCCCCAGCAAGCTGAGCTCAGACATGCGACCCGGAATATTCCGTTGCCAAGGCTTCCTTAAACAGAGATGATGTCGCTGATTTCTGCTGTTGGCTGGTGCCTTCCAGAAGCCACCGTCATTTATCACTAGGCGGCCAGGTGGCAGGGGAGGATGGGAGGGCAAGGCGTACTCTAAACTCCTGATCTGATACAGTGACTATTTTGGCGCACCTATCACATGGGATAAGAGAGGGGTGTGCCAAATGCTATATATACTTGGCTGGCGCCGGAACCATAGCCAAAGTCAAAACACTGTAGCCAAACAAGAGGTTTATGGAATTAGTCACACAGGTCCTTTCTTTCGTTCACCCCTACAATGGCTTCCTATCTTTTTGTAGCCCCACTTTAGAAAACAGAGTCTGACCCCCTTCTGATCACTTCCCTGCAGTTTCACAATGCCCACCAGTTGGCCGCCTGGTGTTTGCACCATATCTGCACCAACTACAACAGTGTTTGTTCCAAGTTCCGCAAGGAAATCAAATCGAAATCTGCAGGTGAGACTCTGGGGTCCCCATTTGCCCAATTCTCATCACCTCCGACTCAGGTGTTTCCCCTCTGTGCCCTTGAGAAGGCAGCTCAGGGAGAATTCTTGTTAATGGCTGGTGTAACATGATGCAGGAATTGTAGGTTGGGAATTCTCTTTGGAGAACCTTATGCTTGGGGGACTTGGGTAAATGGGCCTCAGGGTGCCCTGCTGCTGAGCATGCAGAGGCAGTTGGCCCACTCTTGTGCAGGCAGGCATGCTTGGGAGCAAGCTCACTCTCTGAACTCAAGTGGTCCCAGGTTCCAATTCCCTGTGCCCAGCCACATGACTTTAGGCAAGTGATTGTCTCAAGATTTAGTGTCACAATCTGCAAATGTTCCTACTCATAGTCCCTGAACATTGGGTTGTTGAGAAGATAACATGAGATAATCATATAGAAGAAGCATTAAGCACAGAACCGGGCATATAGGAGCGGCAAACAGCAGGTATCATCACCCACATCTTTCCTTCACCAGACAACCAGGAATACTTTGAGCGGCACCGCTGGCCCCCCGTGTGGTACCTAAAGGAAGAGGACCACTACCAGCGGGTGAAAAGGGAACGAGAGAAGGAAGATATTGCACTGAATAAACATCACTCAAGACGAAAGTGGTGCTTCTGGAATTCATCTCCAGCGGTCGCCTGAGGAGGAAGAGGAAAAACCCAGTAATCTGACCCACCACTTTTAGAAGCACTACTGTAAATTAGTCTTATTATTGGAAATAAGTCGTAGTTCAGGTTTCAGGCACTGATCTTCCTCCACGTTTGTGCATTTATCTTTGCTGGGATCGAAGCACAATCCCCATCAATGCGCCTGGACAAAAAGGGAAGTTGATGCTCACTGCATTCCTTAAACTTACATTTTTTGTTAGAAGGCTAAATAAAATTTAGTCCGTTACCTTGTTTCTTTTTATACAAAGGAAAAAAAATCCAACTTTGATGTTTCAAATTCCAAATTGGAAAATATTTTTATATGGTCTCTTGTATTTTATTGAAATGAAAATACTGTGTATTACTTTATTTTACAGGCCACAAATTAACCATGAAGTCACCCTGTGATTCTCTCTGCCCACATGACCACCGAGCATTATTTCATAATTAGAGGGTTATCCTTTTGTTGTGAAGTAAAGGGTTGGAATGAAATTCCCCTAAGTGCAAGTTAGAGACTGTTTAATCTTTGTTATGCCGAATAACATCGATATAATTACCAAGTCAACTCCAAAAATGTGTATTTAAAATATTTGAAGTGTAAGTGCTAGTAATTATATGGTTATATGTGCCATGTAAAATATAGTGATATCAAATCTTCTGTTGTCTAAAATGTCTAGATTCAAAAGGATAATCTTTATAATCACTAGAAGGGCTTATTAAATCCCAGCATTATCAGGGCAAACTCACTGGTGGACCTGAATACAAAAGATACCGTAAAGCATTGGTGTTTGGATTGCTGCATTAGGGTTTATATCTCTCAGTATTCCTTGATCTTGCCGTGCTTTTGCATGCAGATTCTCTGCTGAACTTGAACTGAGATGGGCAAGGGAAAAGGTCCCCCGGACTTGTCCCACCGTCTATAGGCGTGTCACATCTCACGACCCAAAACAGGCTTCCTCAGGTCTCCCACCTGCAGCCAACTTCTCTAAGACACATATTTTTAACTCTTCCCAGGGAAAATTTATGATGCTTCAGAAGTAGGTTAAGGCAGACCACCCAGCCCTGCTGAAATTCAGCCAGGGCCTGTGAAAGCGCAAAGCTGGAGGCTGGGTAGTCTAGGCTCCCTGCATTCTCCAACGCAGACAGGAATCTTATTCCAAGAGTCTAGGAAATGGTGCTATTGTGAGTTAGTTCTGACCCTTTGTCATTCTGAGTTTTCAGTGTTAAAATAGGAAGTGTTGAGCAGGGGAGCTTTTGAGAGGCAGTCAATCATTGCTTCTCTGTAAATTAAAATGTTGCAGCACTTATACAGAGCATTTTAAGGTCACAGTTCCATACCTGCCATGGGATGTTGTATGGTGGGGCTGGGCTTATTCTGTTGGGAGGTCAACTTACTGAAGCTAAAGACTGTTAATTGTCTTTCCTTGCTTTCAGAAGTTGGAAAAAAGACAGTTGAGTCCAAATCCCAATGTTGACAGTCATATATATGCATTTGAAAATCTATCAGGATTGCAGATGGGCATGTTTATTGGCAGTGGATACACACCAGATACAGGAGTTTGTAGAGGCCCAGCAATGCACCCTCCCTCACGACAAAGGAGGGGGCCATAGATTAGGGGTGGGTGGTTGTAAATGCACCTACTTTAATTTTTGGTCAGTCGGGTTGTAAATCATTAATGGAAGGAGAAAAGAGACAGAATGAGAGAATAAATCTCAACACTCAGGAAGAATTGGCATATTTCTCATCATAAAAAAGGTAAAAGCTGAGTTTTTAGTGGTAGTCAGAGTTGAATTTTTACAACCAAAGCTCCCATGTGATTGTTACTGTAATCTTGCCAAAATGTAGTGGACATATAAGTGAACCTGGGGTATAAGCAATAATATCCACTAGTGTTTGTTATCAGCTACTGTAACCAAGTGGCTGGTTCATTTGGTTGATGCTGATTATGGCCTTTAACCATGGTGGTTTGTTTTGTGTTTTTATTTCACAAAAAGCCAATAAAATTGTTTAGCTATGACATGCCTCCTGTTTTTTTTTTAAAGACCATCAGCATTATCATGTGATAATAAATCATTAGTGTGATAATACCTGTGATAGTTTTTTAAAAAACTATCAAGATTGTAAAGAAGCAAAATTTTAAATGGGTGCTGTGTGTGCAGCAGTAACAAAGCAATTTGAATGACTTTCAGCTCTTTTTTCAGGACTGCCAGAGGGATTCCAATGCCTGGATGTAAATGAGGGTCTGGCTCTTTGCTCTTGGCTAATATGATTATGTCACTAGGCATGGTACAGCCTTGGAAAAAGCAGAAATGATGTCTCTACCTTAATGGATTTATAATCTCAGTTTGGTCAATTCTGTCAGCAATTAAGTGAAAGGTTGGATTGGAAGGTTCATTAAGATCAGTCTTTTCTCCACAAGCCTTTGGGAAAATATATAATTTCTAGACTTCTACATAGTATAATGCTTATCCAAACTGAGTTAAGTCCAAATCCCAGTGTTGACAGTCATGTATATGCATTTGAAAATCTATCCAGATTACAGATGGGCATTTTTATTGGCAGTGGAGACACACTAGGTACAAGAGTTTGGAGAGGCCCAGCAATGCACCCTCCTCAGAGGGAAGAAAGGTCTCCAATGAGATCTCATAGAGTGACTCTTCTGAGTGACAAAGTCCCTATAATTCAATGGCAAATTGAAAACCAAGAAAAATAACTGCGGTAAGAAGACAGATTTCCAACACATTCCCACCCCTTTTAAAGGTGGGTGGTCCAGATCATGGCATCTTTTACATAATGCATACCAGTAGAGTCTTACCTATAGAAAGTTTTGGTCTCAGTTTCTCCAAGGGCAATGCCTGGAAAATCATCATGGATTTCACCAACCTGCCATTGGCATTATAGGAACCAAAAATCCTGCAGGTTTAAAGGTAACAAGTATTTTCATTACAGACACTCAAAAGTAAGAATCCAATGTCTCTAGGTTTTTTTTTTCCCACACTTACTTCCATTGTATGATCTATATCAATTGTCAAAGTTTGGTTTTTCATCACTGTGATATTGACTAAGTAGAATGAATTTTACTAGTCAGAGAGAAAAATAAAGTGAATCCTGAGTATGAAAAGTATTCTATGACTGCAGTTTTTCTGAAATGAATGCTTTTATGCAAGCTAAAGACTCACCAGGTTTCTTCTGGAATTGAGTATATGAGGTATTTATTTAATCAAATGCCCTAATTGGATACTAGTGGACAAGTAGCAATAATTCCTTTTTTCTAGAATGTGCATTGCAGAGAGTATGTTTGGGTTATGTATGTAAGTAACTAAGAACAGCATCGTGGAGTACTGAAAAAAATAAAAGGGCTAATGGCAATTTAAAAAGAAAAGAAAAAAAGAGGAAGAACGGCCACTGACCAAAGCCATGAAAGTTGAATTAAGCACTCTGAGCCATGGACCTTCTCTCTTTCTTTCAAAACACTAATTTATGAGATTATTCCATATCTCATTACTTAATTTACTTTCAAATTTACATTACTCATTACTTTCAAATTAAGACTTAGTTCTGTTGAATTTCAATTAGGAGGCAGGAGATGTATGCAACATGAGAAGACACTGGT